GTGACAAGAGTCTCTAAGAGGTGTCAAGATGTATCAAAGGTTTGTTTGTTGCAGGCAGCATATATTTAGATCGCAGGCGATCGCATCTGAGGTTTTCACCTTGATGCCTACAAGTCTGGTGACCGGAAGCTTGTCGCCTGTGAGCGGAAGCATGTGGATGTTCATTGATGTTCATTGTTTTACGGTTTGCTAACAATGTCGAGGCATCACGTTTAGCCCAAAGGGATCCGAAGGTCCGAAGGGTAGGTAGAAAGATGAAACACCTACATACAACTACACCTGCTGGTTGGTGATGTCATTCCCTCTTGATTTAAACACCAAGGAAATATCGTTATCCGTGTGATTTTGGTGTCTGTGATGTCATCAGTGGAAATTGTCCGACGCAGCATGTGGGCTGTCCTTCGTTCCTTGGCATGGTGAGTGTCACCTTTTGTTGATCGCAGTTGTGCGATGCAGTTGACAGCGGGGGCGCACCATTGCAAGCCTCTCCAAAAGAACGAGAGCGCTTGGGGCTTCCAGCGCCCCATCAGATCCTCAAGTAAACCCTCATATTTCTTCGAAAGGGTTGTACACTGTAACTGCGTAGCTACTAAACATTACAAACTAAACCAACAGTTTGAGGCACTAGTAAGCCAACACCTTTCTTCACCATGTACACATACATGTACACCAACTTCTCATGGTTTGTTTGTTGCATCCTCGGTCAGCCGTGTTATGCATTTCTGTGGAGTACAGGTGGGAGAACTTGCAGGGCAGTTTGCGTGATCGGCATTCCAAATTCAGGCATTGAGTATGAGCAGCTCTCCAACGTCCCTCCGACATAAATTAATTTTTGGGTGCAAATGCAAATGTACAATGGTGTTGCAGCGTGCCTATATGTGTTTTGAAGCGATGCACTGAGGCGAGTGGCTTTCGTGCGCTGCTTTGGGTGACTTAGCTGAGTAGATGGGTCCGGTGGTCCCTTGGCCAACTCCAGCCTACAACCCAGGTGATGGGAGGAAAGCTAGAAGCCGCTGGTTTGTGCAGCAGAACTTAGTTCCTTTGTTTTACTGATTTGATATTTGTGTTTGGGGCACTCCCTTTGGCCCACGCAGAGTCTATTTCAGGAAGTGCAGATCTCGACACGAGGTGCCCTCAAAGCTCAATACGGCGCCAGAGAGGAGCCTTGGCTCAAGGTGAATACTAACACGAACCTTCATGCAGCATTTGTTGTTCTTTAATTATGGTAATGCTGGGCCAGGCTTTCTAAGAGAGGAATGACAAGATGATCAAGGGGAGACGTGCCGTATAATATCATGCTGTCAGATCATGTATGCTGTATATGTATTGTGTATACAGTACTACATGAGAGTTCCAAGGGATAGGTGACTCAGTTGGCACCACTGACTGTTTTTGCAGATTGCAATTGTAGCATCATATCTACTTACTCCCTGAAATGATCATGGAATTGGAAAATGGCCCTGTGGATGACCATTTCCTCTACTAAACGGGCGGCTTCCAGAACCCCGACTCGAGGCGGCCTTCAAAGGCCATAGCCGGTTGCTTGCCTTCCGATAGTCGGTGTGTCTTTTGTTTCAGTTGCAGTTGGTGCTTCGTGTTCACAGTTTGTTAAATGGATTGCTCAGCAGAAGGGTCGGGATGCCGATGCATGCCCTAAATGTCGTCCACACCGTTTTAGGCATTGCACTCGATTGCATTGAAGCCACTTTTTTCCCCAATAGCCATGCTATGGGGTCTTGCAAAACTAATAGGCGGACGGGCGCCGTCGGGTCACCGTCAGAGCTGGTGGGCGGATGGTATCCCGGTCATGTTGTGATGGTGTCCCGGTCGTGTTTTGATGGTGTCCCAGTCCTGTTTTGATGGTGTCCCGGTCATGTTGTGATGGTGTCCCGGTCATGTTTTGATGGTGTCCCGGTCATGTGATGGTGTCCCGGTCATGTTGTGATGGTGTCCCGGTCATGTTTTGATGGTGTCCCGGTCGTGTTGTGACGGTGTCCCGGTCATGTTGTGATGGTGTCCCGATCATGTTTTGATTGTGTCCCAGTCATGTTGTGATGGTGTCCCGGTCCTGTTTTGATGGTGTCCCGGACATGTTTTGATGGTGTCCCGGTTATGTCGTAATGGTGTCCCGGACATGTTTTGATGGTGTCCCGGTTATGTTGTGATGGTGTCCCGGTCATGTTTTGATGGTGTCCCGGTCGTGTTGCGACGGTGTCTCGGTCACGTTTTGATGGTGTCCCGGTCGTGTTGTGACGGTGTCCCGGTCATGTTTTGATGGTGTCCGGGTCATGTGATGGTGTCCCGGTCATGTTGTGATGGTGTCCTGGTCATCTTGTGATGGTTTTCCCGTCATGTCATGTTGGTGTCCCGGTCACCTTGTGATGGTGTTCCGGTCATGTTGTGATTGTGTCCCAGTCATGTTGTGACGGTGTCCCGGTCATGTTTTGATGGTGTCCCGATCCCCGATCATGTGATGGTGGCGCGGTCATGTTGTGATGGTGTCCGGATCATGTTTTGATTGTGTCCCAGTCATGTTGTGATGGTGTCCCGGTCCTGTTTTGATGGTGTCCCGGTCATGTTTGATGGTGTCCCGGTCATGTTGTGATGGTGTCCCGGTCATGTTTTGATGGTGTCCCGGTCGTGTTGTGACGGTGTCCCGGTCATGTTTTGATGGTGTCCCGGTCCTGTTGTGATGGTGTCCTGGTCATGTTTTGGCGGTGTGCCGGTTATGTTTTGATGGTGTCCGGGTCATGTGACGGTGTCCCGGTCATGTTGTGATGGTGTCCTGGTCATCTTGTGATGCTTTTCCCGTCATGTCATGTTGGTGTCCCGGTCACCTTGTGATGGTGGCCCGGTCATGTTGTGATTGTGTCCCAGTCATGTTGTGACGGTGTCCCGGTCATGTTGTGATGGTGTCCCGATCATGTGATGGTGGCGCGGACATGTTGTGATGCGCGGTCATGTTGTGTTGGTGTCCCGATCATGTTTTGATTGTGTCCCGGTCATGTTGTGATGGTGTCCCGGTCCTGTTTTGATGGTGTCCGGGTCATGTTTTGATGGTGTCCCGGTCATGTTGTGATGGTGTCCCGGTCATGTTTTGATGGTGTCCCGGTCGAATGTTGTGACGGTGTCCCGGTCATGTTTTGATGGTGTCCCGGTCCTGTTGTGACGGTGTCCGGGTCATGTGACGGTGTCCCGGTCATGTTGTGATGGTGTCCTGGTCATCTTGTGATGGTTTTCCCGTCATGTCATGTTGGTGTCCGGGTCACCTTGTGATGGTGTGTCCCGGTCATGTTGTGATTGTGTCCCAGTCGTGTTGTGACGGTGTCCCATGGTGTGATGGTGTCTCGCTCATGTTGTGACGGTGTCCCGGTCATGTTTTGATGGTGTCCCGGTCATGTTGTGATGGTGTCCTGGTCATGTTTTGGCGGTGTGCCGGTTATGTTTTGATGGTGTCCGGGTCATGTGACGGTGTCCCGGTCATGTTGTGATAGTGTCCCGGTCACCTTGTGATGGTGTCCCGGTTATGTTGTTTGTGTCCCAATCATGTTGTGACGGTGTCTCGGTCATGTTTTGATGGTGCCCTGGTCATGCTGTGATAGTGTCCCGGTCATGTTGTGATGGTGTCCCCGTCATGTCATGCTGGCGTCCCGGTCACCTTGTGATGGTGTCCCAATCATGTTGTGTTGGTGTCCCAATCATGTTGTGACGGTGTCTCGGTCATGTTTTCATGGTGCCCTGGTCATTTTGTGATGGTGTCCCGGTTATGTGATGATGGTGTCCAAGGAAGAGATGGTCGATGTGTTGAAAACAGCAGCTGTTTCCAGATGTTTCTTTTTGTCCCGGTTTGTATCTTGCTATTGGGGTCTCCAGCTGGGCTAATTGAATAGATATCGCGGCCATTTTTTCACTGTCGTTTGAGTGTCCCTGTGGGGCTTCAGTCAGACTCTGTAAAGCACGAGAGAGAGAGAGAGAGAGAAAAAAAAAAGATCACAGCCATTGCAATGCATATTGCACACACTCAGTATCTCACAACTGTTTGAAGGCTATTGAAATGATGTTTGCTAGTGAGGCGATGGAACTGTTCATATCGTTTTACTAGCGTGCAAGGTGTGCAAAGGTCTCTTCAAGCACACCCTCAGTACTCATCCCGAGCAGTTTCAGGTGACTCCAAAGGACAGCCCTTGCTATCTTGACTTCGCCGAGTCGGAGAGAGTACCCTGCGTAGAGTCACTCAGCCTTGGGGGGCAGATGTCCATTAGCATACTCACCTTTTTCAGCAGATACAGATTTGATCAGCAATCACCTGTCAGGCCCGATTTGCCCAAGCAAAAGGCCTGGACGGAGAGTCTGCTGCTTGCCAAGCAGGTATAACCCAACGATACCAGATGCGCTAGTGTAGACGTGTCATTCAAAATGCTTATATAGCTCGGGGGGGAAGATATGCCCCTCTCCATCACAGGTTTGGCAATGCAAGCTGTCTTCCGCGCAGCAGGGTGGCAACTTCCCGCAATTGATTTCCTTGTTCGAAGAAGCTCTGAATGCTGTACATTGTATTGATGCGTGCTTGATTTCTCGTCAATCTCCTAGAACATAGAGCAGAATAGAGCGGAGACTTTATGATGCTGGACTGATCTTCCTCATGCTTGTGCACGCAACTCGTAACAACTTTGTTCGAGAGATTGGCGAGAAAGCTTCGCCGTTGGAGTCAGGGCCAAATCGCTGTTTGACATGTTCAGCAATTAGCTTTCATTGCGATGAAACAAAAATGTGAAGCGTGCTGGGCGTGATGCTGGACCACGCTGAACAGGTTTTGATATATTTGTATGTATATATTTTTTATAATATGCACTTGTGTGTGAAGAGTTGTTGGCATTGTTTTGTCCTTCAGACAGACGAAGTTTGGTACTGTACCTGTTCTGTTCGAAGGTTAGTCTACATATTTTTGTCGTAAGCCGCTTACGACTTTGTTTGGCTGTGTTGACCATTGGCACACCAAGGCCATTGCCTTGGGAAAGGTGCGACCATTGGGCCATTGGGAAATAGCACAGTTGGCATTTGGGCTTACAGACTTGTGACTCAGACGTACACGTCCTCCGCAGCTGTGCCATGCAGGTTTCCAGGGAACATGCCTTTGCTGCAAGACATCATTGAGCTCATGACGCTGCGAGACAGAAGCCATAGGCCGGGCGCTTGCTTGGTTCAAAGCCCTGGAAAACCGGTCGCACTGCACCGAACTTGAATAAAATAGAATTGCATAGGAATGCGAAGAGTTAACAAAGCAGAATTTGTATCCCCGTGTGAATTTCCCCTACAGATAAGTGGGCCTTGAGGCCCTTACAAAACGAAATTCTAGTATTTTTTAACCTGTTCTGGGTAACGTCGAGGCCTTCGATATTCTAGACATGGACGATGTGTGAAGTAAACTGTATCTATAGCCTTGTATTTTGTAGATGGTAAGATGTTCTGCCCTGGGACGTCGTGCCTCATTTCAGAAGGCCACTGATTCTGTAGACTGGCGGGGGCCTCAGTTCAGCTATTCTGTAGACCTGGAGCAGGCACGGCCGTTTTGTACCTGTAGAATGGGGGCCCCAACGTCCACCCTGTAATTCACACGGGGATGAATTTGTTGGTGTCAATTTGTTCCTTTCCTGTATAGAAATGCGAACCGATTCCAGGCCAAGAGCATTGCAAGCGGCAAACCACGAGTGGTTCCACGGCAGCAGCGACGTGGATCTTCCAGCAAGCTCTTTGTGCCCTGGCTTTGTGAGCCGCTTTAAGCCAAAGTAAGAGCAGGGCAAGAGGCCAAGTAAGAGTTATTTCTGTGTTGAGATTGCCCAAACTATGTATGTTCTCAATATTTCTCAATGTTGTTTGCGGCTAGATGCGCTTAAGGCAAGGTTTGATCGGCTGTGCAGACAAGCATCAAGTGATCGAAGAACTGACAATCCGCCTGGGAGAGGCAGGCACCAGCTTTTGTACCAAGGTTTACCTTGGATGTGTTCAAAGGTTGATAAAGTAGTGTGTTCATGGATTCGTGGAAGACTGGACGTCTTCCTCGCACTTGCAATCTCCACGGCCAGAGGCCAACACGTTGCATGCCATGCGCCAGCTCCTGGAACAGTTTCAGAAACTTGATCGTGACTTGGCGGAAGAAGGTGTTAATTGCTTTGGCCCGAGATTTTTGATGTCATGAAAATCACTGCAGTGACGTTTTTCCCGAGAGCGCCTGCGAAGGGTTCTTCGTAAAAAAACATTTGCAGAATACATCTTCACATCTTCACCTCTGTACATTCACATTCTCACTTATATCTCTGCTCATCTGCTCTCTGCTCATCTGCACATCTACATCTCTGCTCATCTTCACATCCTCACATCTACATCTTTGCTCATGTTCACATCTGCACATGTACATCTCTGCTCATCTTCACATCCTCACATCTTCACCTCTCGCGCTTCTTTGCTTACCTCAACTTGTTTGATGTTGCATTATTGAAGACGCTCAGGGT